AGCGATCTCTTTCTTCCTTTCACATTTGTACACCTGTCTCTGTCTATCGCGGATAAATTGGCGCGAAGGAAGCGAAAGATTGATGATCTAAGCACAGGATCGATTCTTGATGTTTCGTTTTACTTTGTTTCGCATTTTTTATTTTATTCCTACCTCGTATTAGTTCAGTTGGTCATCGTCAGTTTTTCTACAAGACATTTTGCCAAGACTTCTATATTTATAAGAAGCCAAGGTACGATGGAAGAGTACCGTTATTAAAAGAAGAAGTTGTGTTACAAACAAGTTTATCATAGAATGAAACAGCTTGTTATGTTGATAAAATTATTTACACTTTTAAGATAAAATACATACATATATACTTATTTTAATTTTCCTAAGCTTTAAGCCGATATTTTATTCTGTCAAAGTTTTAGTTTAGGCTAGCGACTAACCCTCGCACCGCTAGTTACATTTTAACGCTTAGTATAGATTTCTCAGAGATGAGATATTTTAGCGCAGTAAAAAGTATCCTAAATGTTGACCCGGATAACCAGCTATCATCATACTAAATTTCTACAAAATCTGTCTAGTGGTTTTCTCATGATGCGTTCTCAGACAAAGAGACAGATAGACAGACAAACAAAAATTTTAAAAATTATAGATTTGGCCTCTGTATCGATAGTAATGACTATTTTAATAAGATTTTCCAAAAAAAATTAATGTACAGCTTCTACTCGGTAAGAATTTTATTGTATGTATAGATTTTAATTTTCCTAAGCTTTAAGCTTATATTTCATTCTGTCAAAGTTTTAGTTTAGATTTGTTATCAGAGCACCTTAAACTTTAGTTTCCTACTATTGAAAGATCAAATTGGAATGGTACTGTTGTTACAAGCTTTTATTACACTTACACTGTTTGTATATCTACGAATATGTTTGTTGGAGCACATCTTGCAACTGAATTTTATGAGTTTGAAGGAGTTATCCTCAACCGATTGAGCTGAAATTTTACATATATGTTTCGTTTGGATGACAATGCATGGTTATCTAAGTGCCGTCATTCTAAATCCAATATGCCGGACTCCCAAAAATGGCGGAATGTGTTTTTTTATGCACTCCAATAACATGGATATCAAAGAAATTTGTTTGGGTTTGCTGAGAGCAATACGAATAAAGAACTGAAAAATAAAAAATAAACTTTAAATTAAAAAACCAGACCCATCAATTTATGTGATATAATTATTTTATTAATATTAATTTATTTTTATGATCATTTCAACATATTAATTACTTAATATATGTATCTATCATTTCTTTTAACAATTATAACTTATTGTCTTTGAGTTCCACTTTATTTTGCGGTGTGGTATCGCACGTGGGTCAAGTGACGTGGCCTAGTTGGTTAAGCAACCTTGATTCAAGTTTGTTACTTAATGGGTGACCGATTGTTCATTTATACAATAGTATAGAATGTATCGAGCAATTAGTTACTCGTTTATATATTAATTTTGGCAATGTTTCTATGGATTCTATTACTTTATTATATTCTAAAATCTAAAAACAAAATCACATCTATTCCTCGGGAACCGTATATTTTTCTGAGATATAAAGTAGCCTATGTGTTATTCCAGACTATAATCTATCTCTGTGCCAAATTTCATCTAGATCCGTTCAGCCGTTCTTGCGTGAAAGAGTAACAAACATCCATACATACTCACAAATATTTATAATATTAATACAGATTTCTATTTATATAAACAATTTTTACATTTCATGTGAACAATAAGTAAATCCTGCTGATATTACTAGGAACGGTAGGATGTGCATACGTATACGTCAGCTACTGACGTCATAGCCATAGTCGTTGGCAAAACGGCAAAGAAATTTAGAAGGATATGTTATATTTTGAATAATTTTAAGAGTTTTAAAGTAAACATAAAACATCATCTGGTCATTTCTAAAAAAAATTTAATACATCCCATCGATCTGGATGAAATTTAGCACAGAGATAGAGTATAATCTAGAATAGTACATACTATCATAGGTTACTTTTTATCTCAGAAAAATTTCCGGTTCCCGTGGGATAAATTTGTTTTTGAGACAAGTGTATATATCTGTAGTAGAAATTCGTTTTAGTAGTTAAATTAAAGAAATAAATTACGCTATTTATTTACATTTTTATATAACATGAACCCAATACCTCTTGATACGTCCAAAATGATGGATGCCACACAAGCTCCACTGAGTCATATGGTACTCAAGCAAATACTAACTCATAATAAGTACATGTTTTCAAAGCAAAGTTAATTGAAATCGGTCTACTGTAAAATTATATACCCAAATGAATGCCTATTTTACTTAGAAATAATTTAGTAGTTATAAACTATTCAGACATAGAATTCTATCCCTTTGAATATTCACAAACAGAACACATATAATAATTTTAGGTAAATTACTTTTTCTAGGCTAAACTAAACAAATCTTAGGATTTCATTACTTTTTTAGTAAAGTTCCTTTGTTTATCTAAAAATTATTATATAAACGCGTTAGTGGGTTCGATGCCCGATGATGTGATAGCATTTGACCCGCGATACCCTATCATATAAGAGACCATCTTAGATTCCTGTCAGAACTACCATTATTATAATGAAAACATCATTCCTATTAGATTTATATATATATGTATATATATATATATATATATATGTATATATATATATATATATATGTATATACGTTCTGTAACATTTAAGTGAAGAGTCATATAGCTGTTATTACGTTTGATGAAATTGAAATTATGAAAATAATGTATTTGAAAGAGGTCATGGTTTCGATTATCTGAAGATTTTAGTTAATCAAACAAAAGTGTAACTTTTTTACTTTTACGCGATTATTTGACATCCTTACTTAATATTATAAATGTAAATGTGTGATTATTTGTCCTTCTTTCACGTCAAAACTGAGTGACTGGTTGGCGTGATTGTGTGGAGATAGAAAGCTAGAGAGTTATATAGGCTACTTTTTACTACGGGAGATTATCTGATTCCCACGGGATACACGGAAACTCATAATACAGCCCACAACAACACGTCATATCATACCTTTGTATATAATATATAATAAATATATTGTCTATCTATTTCATACTAACCGTTAAAACGTACCAAGAGATAAACCCGAGCGATGCAAGGGTAAGCCGCTAGTTTGTATAAAACTTTATTTTGGCTTATTTCACGGATTTATTTTGACTTTTGCTTTTTGGTCCTCGATGTTTCAAATGCTTTAAAGCAATTATAACCACGGAAGAGTATAAAATTTTAGACTCCTCACAAACTATTATATTATTATTACAGACAGTACCTACCTACACACTATACAATAATTTTAAAGAAGTAGAATGAACCAAAAATTATAATAAATCCACAAAAAAATCCGAAAAGATAGTTATTTCGATATTTGGTGTAAAAATTTATTACATATACATACATATTTCACGGTTCGACTTAAAATATTAAAACCAAAAAAGCATCTTGCTATCATTTGTATCTTTTTGTTTTTTTTTTCTAATAGTCGGCTCTACAATCGCTCACCTACAATCTCTACTTGTTACGCTGACACAAATAACATTACTATGTACCAAATGAAGTTATCACTTTTGTGTAACCTAAAAACAAGTGTGTTGACAATATTTTAAATAGTAAATATTTGTTTAACAATGAGCCTATGATAGCTAAGGTCGACCATTACTACGTCAATTTTCATTGAGTTTTATCATGCTTACAATTGCACCAATAAACAAAAAAGGTTTCATAGATAACACAATCCCAAATGTTAAAAAAATGTGACTGGCATAATCTAATAAGACAGTTATTGCAAGTTTGATTTCAAATGTTTTGCTAAACAGCAATGAAAATAAAATAATAAAAATTCAATTATTTCCACTTAAAAACGTCGTTATGCACGACTATTTCCTTAAACAACAAAAAAATTATCTTCATGGGCCAAATAGGCTGGTGACATTGGCTCTATATTCTCGGTAAATCAAATCTACTAACTCAACAACCATTCAAACTTGATCTCTTCAAAATATATCTCCACATACGTACATTTCTACAAGCTTACGATAGAAGAGATCGTGTCAGGTCTCTTTATAGTGGTTTACTCAGGGTGTCACGTGGTCGGCGCACGCGCAACTTTATTTGTAAACTCGGTCAATGCCCCGGGCGTTAGATAAAAAACACACAAATTGTTTACGTGGTTTGTTACGCAAATTGTGATAAAGATAGGCCTAGCGTTCCGGTTTATAATAATATTAAATTTGTATTTATGGAACTGAGTAATTGACGCTCTTCGTTATCTATATATAAGTAAATGCAACGTATGCAAAAATCACTTATTTCCATGCGACACGTGTTATCTCATAACCTGTCACTGTAGGAAACGATTTATTAGATTACTTTATCTTTTACACTAACATCTCATTGCATAATAAGAATGTATAGTGCATACGGGATAATCTATAGTACTCGAACCTAGTCATTTTTTTATTAATTAGGTCAGTATAAAATATTTTGTTAAATTTATACAGCACCATGAAAACCGATATGAAACGTAAGTTCCTATAATACAAAATTTTCTTATCATAAAGTGTCTCGCAATCGCACATCAAAGTAACGGATTCGCATTATATATAATAGACGGGTTTCAGTGAAAACCTGTCTGGCAACTCGGAAAATTAAGGAAAGCTCGCCGACGAAAGTGGAAAAAGCTCACACAGACTCAAGAACCAACACATGCGCGCGCCTGTGAGCGTGCACGCACACACGCAGGCGTACGAAAACGAAAGTGTCCGAACGGCGCCGAACATAGCCGAAGCGAGCTCACCGAGTCAGTGGAACTCGAAACTGGGACATCAGTCCGCAATTCGACGCGATCGCCGGCGGACGCGGCGCACGGCTACATTACGCTATATGACATAACTGGAACTTGTGATTATGGTGTCTGTGTGAATAAATAATCATGATGGCAGTGGAGGCCCGTCCGGCGAGTACCGGGCCGGAAACCCGCCGGTCGCCGGTACCGGACCGCAGAGCGATGAGCGCGGACTCGGAACCACGCACCCTGGCCGCCCGCAAGGCCTATCCTGAACCCTCGGAGGAAGATGCTCCCCTCGATTTAACAGTTCATACTCGAAAAGAGATCACGGTGAGAGAATTTGCCCGCCACCCCTTCGCGGACCCCACGGACTATGTGAGAGCACAGGCTATACTGAGGCAGTCGAGGGGTTTCCTGGCTGCTGGAAGGGATTCTGGCACCGAATCAGATGACTCCGCCGGCCGGATGAGCCCCGGCGAGGACCCTACCTCCGGCAAAGCCTACAAAAAGTCCCTGATGAAGAGATACAGTAAGTTCACATTATTTTCTTTCGTCGCCTCTACCGGTGTATAAAACCGGCCACTACAAATAATTATTATTTAACGCCTGCCTTATGTACGGCTGTAAGAGGTGTGTCTGAATTGACGTGAGCGATCCATTTTCCCAAGAATTCCGGACTCTGACGAATGTTTTGGTAACTTATTTATTTCTTGTACGCTTCAATTTAAATAGCGTACGACCTAATTGTCAGGCGATTTACCGCGTTCTTGGGAAAAAATTTATCATAGAAACACGTTAGCGTTATACACTGCATATAATAAAATGGATAAGACACTTGATATTTATGCGAATGTTACAATGTAAAAATTGATAAAAAACAAGGAATTTAGTAGTGCCACTTATAAAAATATAATTCATCCTGAGAAATGCCTATATAAACATTACATTGGCATAATAATTAATAAAATATGGTACTCAAACAATTGTTTATATATAAATTGGATATATCCTATTATCAAAAAAAAACTAAAAAAGGTAGTCTACGCGCGTAGCGATTCTACGCCGGTTACGATGTCGCTACATCACTGAAAGTATTATATACTTACACACAGTAGTATATAATTAACATAATTCATATGAATTGGTTTTTTCACACTCTATTAACATACATAGACTGCTCTTCTGAATGAATTTCAATGCAAAACTTCAATAATATTTTGTGTTTCATACAATACTTCTCTACTTCCAGTAAGTAGACAAAGTTTGTAGAGTGCTTTTTTTTTGTTTAGTTTATTTATTAAGTTGCATTTAAGCGGTCAATAATGAAAATCAATAACAAAATATTAAATTTTATTTAAATTTAGTATTTGTATTTTTGTATTTATATACATATTTTTTTTGTACATAAAATTGGTCTTTAATATTTAATAATCAAATAATTTTATATTACTGTAATAAAAATGAGGAAATTTGTGATTATCCTCATAATGTTCGTAAATAATGACCTAAAATGCATATGAGAAATTATAAAACTAGTTCTTATTCTTTCGTTTTATATTTTATTATAAAATGAAAATTATAAATGTTAAATATAACTTAGCTTTCGATTTTGTTTATGCTTTTATGTTTGAATTTTATATAAATGGATATTAAGTACGATCTAACAAACGAATAGTCCTGGTGAGTGCGATGGATATTTCAGTAGCTCTACATTGACTGCACAATGCGTATTGTTGGAAGAATACTAAGTGCAGCATCCAGATACGATAACAATGTGTAAAATTGTTAAAATTGTTGTGCCATTCTATACACATACGTAGTTAGTATATTTTAGATTTTTTTTCATGTAACTAAAGGCATTTATTCTTAAATTAATATTTTTTAAGCAAAATATTTACCGAATTGATAGACTCTATATTAGTTTATATATGTATTTATATACATAGATATGATGAGTTTCATATGCCGTACTTGAGAAATGATTGATTTCCCATACAAATCTTCATCCCCGTTTTCATCCCTTTAAGGTATGATTGTCGCGAAAAACAACTATCCTATTGTACTCAAACAATTACTATGTCCTTACCTTACTATATCCTTCCCAAGGTTTCAAATTATATTCGTACCCATTTAAATAGGTTCAGCGAATTTTTAGTTTATGCACTACAAACAAACATACAAATATACAGACAACATTTTTATTTCTTTTTATAATATTAGTGTAGACATACAATATTTCAATAAAATGCTAGAACCAAAAATATTTTGTGACCACCATATAGTATTCATAACATAATTTAGAACCTTATAAGGATCACGTTCCGTAGTTATAATATAAAATTTATTATGTTTTTACCATTTATGTATAAAATGCAATACCTATACTTTAAATTCGACACATACAGCGTATTAAATGCATCGAGTGTCATTTCGAAAGTCTCCGCCTACGAAGCGATATGTTATGTACTAAACGTTGCCCTAACACACATACAGGTCGTCGACATAACGCGGAAAAAGATATTATGCTTAATTAATAATATAATTGATTTCATATTTAATTTGTAAGTATTTATGTACGTATATACCTACATTTATGAAAATTACATTTACTGAAGACTCGCGATATTTTACAAAAAAATTAAGTAATAGATAACTTTTTATTTACTATGTTATATTTTAAGTATATTAAATACTTATATATTTTTTTATTTCATACAAATATAACATTCTGTTTCGTACTGAGTGTTTAGTTCGGAACCAAAATCCGCTTTTAACGTTCGCCTCGTGTAGCTCGTATCAAACTCACGACTTGTAAACAGCGACTACTACAAATGGCTATAAAATTATTTATTGTATTTCCTCGATATTCCTATCTTTCATTCAAAATAATATCTTTATAGTATAATAGATTACTTTCGTATTTCAACAATAATTTACAGTTTAATTCCTATTATCTCTTTAAGAAGAATCATTCTGTATTACATAGTTTTCATATAACTTGATTAGTTTCAAGTCGGCATGAATTCCGACATCTTCAACAATCATCGTCATATTTCAGCCAATTTACATAAAACCTTAATGAATTATACATTAGAACCTTCCTCATGAATCACTCCACCTACTGGTGAAAACCGTATGAAAATCCGTTCGGTAGTTTTTGAGTTTATCGCGTTCAGACAGACAGACGCGGCGGAGGACTTTATTTTATAATATGTAGTGAACATTGGATTCAAAAATAAATACATAAATTATATCAAACTGTTGTATCTCACATTATAGATCCTAACGCTTACAAAAAAAATCTATATACCATTATATAACATACATAGAAATACTCGTATAACTCACATGGTTATATATAAAATTAAACAAGGAAGGAAAACTGTCGACGCTGATATCGAAGTGACGCGGGAAATGCAATTAATATACACTGCATTCTAATCAATGCACTATATTATATTTACAAACAATGTATAACAAGAGAATTAAAGTAGTTTTTCATTATTTTTTCATTATGTTGTCACCAATGATTTCCTTTTTTAATTTGACGATAACTAGTATTTCACACGAAAATCTATACTAATATAGTAAAGAGGCCGAGTTTGTTTGTTACTACTAATCCGATTTGAAAACTTCTTCTTGCATTAGATAGCCGGTTTATTGATGGAGGCTATAGGCTATATATTATAATATATTAGTCTATCTATTACATACTAGCCGTTAAAACGTACCTACCTAGTGACGAAGCCGAGCGAAGCGAGTGGGAGTTGCTAATCATTTAATATAGCAGGATAAACAACTTATGTCACTTTCCCAGTCTATAAGCCATATTCATATAAAAAATCTCGTCGATCTGTTGCTGCGTTAAAGACAAACAACTAAACAAACAAACAAAAACACGATACTATTTAAAATATTATACAAATTATTAAAATCTTTAAAATAAACGCAGAAAGTGAAACAAAACTAGTATTGAAATGTACAAATCTCTTCAAACAATAATAATGTAGCGTCAGCGTCAGCGTCAGCGTACGACGCTGCATCATCATTTCGTGGTACTACGGGTTCGATGCCCCGGTCACTTCCGAGTATGGTCTGAATTGATACACGATTTGTTTTATATATCGAATTACATTAGCTATCGCTAAGTTGCAATTATATTAAAACTTAAACTTACTAGCTATTCTTCTTTATTGTAATAATGAGTGGCGTCCGATATGTGCGTTTACGTACTCAAATGATAAATACGTACGTATCTACGTAATAAATATGTACGCCTGTATAATAAAATAATCAAATTATATTTTGGATTTTTAATTGTTTTTTTTTTTGACGTGGTAAATTGAAAAAAAAAAACAAAATTAAATTTTATATAAGTACATTGGTTCTCCACACATTTATTATACACCATTAAATTAATATTTAGCAAAAAATTTGTGAAATAGGTTCCTACTCGTATTATACCAAAATATCATCAAAGTTTTAACGTTAATATTAGTCAAATGAAAGTTCGTGACTGTATGTTTGTTTGTAACTTCTCCAAGCTATAACAAAACATAAGAGATACTCGTAGCTATCTTATTGTCTTGGTTTAGTACATAATCTATTTCTTATCGACAACCACGCGAGTAGAACCACGGGTAGAAACTATTATAATAATAATAATCGTATTAAATTTATAACACTTCCGTACAATAAATGGGTCAACGTTACCTGTTTACGATACACGCAAAAAATGAATCTTTCCCAAGCATATCGAAGAGTGCAGGAAAACAGCTGCATATATCAAATTCGGTACCTGTGATCGGAAGTGAAAGGTGAAAAGGATATCAAAGGTTTAACTTAAATTTCTATTAACTTTATAGGTACTTTATAACTCTAAAAACTAGCCGTATTATTAAAAACTATATTAAAATAAAACCATTAGTTTAATGAATACTTTTTTAGATTTACGCGAATATTTGACATCTATACATATAATAAAATTCGAACTGAGTCGAATCTGTACATTCTATTTTTTTTTTGGAAATTCTTATTGAAATAGTCATTATTATCGATACAGAGGCCGAATCTATTGTTTTTAGAATTTCCGCCTGTCTGTCTGGGAATGCATCACGAGAAATCAGAAAACCATTGAACAACATTTGATGAAATTTGGTACGACGATAGCTGGTTATCCGGGTCAACATATAGGTTACTTTTTACTGCGGGAAAATATCTCATCTCTGAGAAATCTATACTAACTGTTCAAACGTATATGTTCATATGACAAGAAACTAATCACATTTTCAATATATCTGTATTAAGATTGTGAACACAAATTGTATTTGAGGAAGCTGAATAAGCGACCTAGTCAGTAGAACATATATAAAAGTTACTTAATTAGAAATTCATTAAATGACCATCGAACTATTAGAATCACATTCAAAATTAAAGCTAAATTGTTAATACTTAAATGAATAAACATTCAATTATTGTATAATAAATTCAAATAAGCCTTCCACGTAAAAGAAAGGGCGGAAACAACAA